TTAATGCAAATATAAAATAATATAGTTCGTGTAAAATTTCATACAAATTTATTAATGCATTGTGAACATTAGTCAATAGGCATAAATATTTATGACCACGAAATTTTTCAAACACCCGCAACTGATAAATATTTTTTCTTTAATATGCATGCTAAAAGTCAATCACGAAGAGCTTTTTTATTAAACTTCTGTCTAAAATGTGTCGAAAATTACTGAAAATATATCATTAATATTCGACATTCTATAATAATTGATAGATATTGTATAAATAAAGTACAAAATTGTGAGTTCAATCGGAGTTCTATTTATTAACAAGATTATAGACTTAAAAATATTTAATTTCATATTTAGATATCGAAAAAATAATTGTAATTATAGCAATAATAATTATAGTAATGGGAAAGTAATAAATGAGAGTAATGCAAAATACTGAAGATGCTAAGATAATTAAAAAAATTCATTTGACTGAACAAGATATGATTAGCATTTAACGGCCGTTGAATAATAAAGATTGAAATATTTTAATTTAGAAAAATTATGTGCATCGATATTGTGGATGGGACAAAATAATTATCAATAAAATTTTATAATTAAAAGGTCAATTATAAAATTAAATCAACTAGTAACGAACGACAGAGATTTGAAAACAATTCTTATAGTTAATACATAATTTATGAAACAAATAAATAAAATTAATTATTTTTATCGAATTTTTTACTTTTACTAAATATTTCAAATTACTTTCAGGGATAATAAAAATGCTGAAAAATTTCTTTATATTTCAGTTGGATTTCTTATATAAAATACAAAAATTTCTTTGTATTTCAGTTTATATTCAATTAATCAAATCACTAATCGTTCCTCGTCAATACAATAAATATAAAGTCATACAAGTATAAAGTTTCTTAAAATTTCATATACATTATAAATATTTCGATTTATTATCTTAATTTAACTGGTCTGATAAATAATTTGAAATAACTTTTACAAATATAAGGCATTTTCTTTAAAGCTTATTATTTTGTAAAGCTCGAGTTAAAATTACATTTAGTTTGACGTCAATTGTCAAACGCAAAACTGCTTTTCTCGAAAATTGCAAAGTCATGAATGCACACATATTATAAAACTAAATAGTGAGATTTCTCATTTAAGTAAAAATTACGAAGAGGTCAATAAATATCATTTTTCACATACTGGAATAAAAATTTAATTCCTTCCCCCTTCACACGTAGTCGCCTTTAAAAAACCAATCGATCTTAGCTACTTGCATTTGTAAAGTAAATTTAATTTTAATTGAACATAATTTGAAAAGGGATAAATTTCAATGGCTATTTAAAAAAATATTACAATTTAACGAAAAGGAATTAAAAAAAAAAAAAAAAAAAAAAATCAATATATTAGCACCAATGTAAAGAATTATCAAATTGACTGACTATTATATGGTAGAAATTATACAATTATAAATCAATATTGTTCTTTTGTTTAATATAAATTGCTTTCAAAATTAATGTTTTTTTGTTTATGGCATACAATGCATTGTTATTTCTTTTATTCATATAAATTAAAAAAAAATAATAATAATAAAAAAGATTTAATAGTATTGATTGATTGACGCTTTTTTTTTATTAAAAAGTGAATAATAAATTTTTCATATAAATATCTAAATTATGAAAAATATTGCTTATTGCTAAAAAAATTATTTACATGAACTTACTATTAAATACACCCAATATAATCTTTCATGTGTATATAATTTATGCATGTATATTATTGTATGTACGTATATAAAATTCAGTGAGTTTATATATATATATATATATATATATACTCTTTTTATTAGATCTGAATTGCTAATAGGAATTTCAAACTTTTTTTATTAGGCTTTGTCGTTTATAAAACTATCGACACGAGTGAACTAATTAATAGGAGAAATGCGAATGAAGACCACTGACATGCGGCAGAGGGGAAACAATCGATGAAATAAACAACGAAAATTGCGCAATAATGATAGAGTAAAAATTTGTTGCATTTATATCCTCGACCGAGAAAGGGACAAGATTCACGTATCTGTAATCATTCCCAACACCACAACAATCATCGGCTAGATGAGGGTATTGGGCGTATACGTGTATGCACATGTGTAAGAATCATGCTAGTCACGATACGCTTTCGTTTACAAGCAAACATTTCCACATTGTAGAAAGTTTTATTCTTTTGTCATTTTCTATTATAATTATAATATTCCCTCCGTAATGACGAATTCTTTATAATTTTTATAACTTTTATGAAGTCGTATCAAGACAAATTTCTCATACTTTTTAAATATATTCCACTAAGCCATCATGTTATCAAATATTTGAATTATTTGATTCAATGTATATATTGTGAGGAATGGATAGTTTAATTTGGTAGACAAATATTTTCTAACGATGTGACTTATTGCGACAACCTATAAATTTTCATATTTCTATAAATGTAGGTGAAATTCAATCATATTTCTTAATCATAATTAATAGTCGGTATCCGGAACGATTTTACGTGGAATTAAAGTGTGATTATCTCCCATTTTTTTTTCAAAATTAGCAATAAAAATGTACAAACATTAAATGTTCATTTCTTGTTAACTAGAATGTATTCTGATTACTTGTATACTTTTATTTTGTTAAATAAATACGTCAATCTTTTTAAAGATATGACAAAATAAGGAAAGAAATTTTATCTAAATTAAATTACTAAAAGTATCCATAAAATAAGGGAACATCACAAGTCCTTCCAAAGAAATAAATTACCTCACCAATTTTATCATCCTTTTCAGGATTAAAATTTCTTATACAGATTCGTTAATACTCTGAATAAGAGAAAAACTGCGTTAGAAAAATCACATTAGAATTAAACGCTTAACTATTGTTGTTGCTAGTGCTATCATCACTACTATTACGAACTTAAGCTAATGGAACACTGCATAATGGAACAAAATTATTTATAACGATAAAACAATTATCCTTTCTCTGCTCTTTTGTAATTTTTGATGTAGTTTTATTATGATAAAGGTAGTCGGATATGATTTTACGACTCGAATAGAAATTGTAAAGTTTAATTGCACTTAACTCATTGCAATATACTAATTAACTGCTTATGCTGAACTTTTTCATTTTCACCACAAATTTGCTGATTTTAAAGTTTAGTATTTAATTTGAACGATAGAATATAAATTTCTGAACTATCAATGGCTCTTTAAAGTAATTTTTTTAATGCAAATTTATAGAAAAGTTATGAAATCAACAAGAACTTCAAATGTAACTGTGCAAATAAATATTTAATCAATATTACTGCAAGTACTTGTCAGATACTATAAGTCTCATTTCGAAATTTATAGCAACGCAATATAATATTTCTATTTGTATTGTGCAATAAAATATAAAATTAAAAGTAAAATCTCTGTCATATTAATTTTCAAGACAAACAAATTTTGCGAGAATCAATATTAAAGATATAATAAAAAAATATGAATAAATATATGAATAAAAAAATTGATACAAAAATCGTATTTCAAATGAAAATATTGCATAAAGTTCTATATAAAAGACCATATGATAATTATATCAAAGTAAACACATAACGAATGATAGGAATAATTCTATTTTGAAAAAGTATTTAAATAACACATTCGTTTTATATTGGATGTATTGGATTGGATGATATTGATTACCATTCGTGTACCTGATTCCTAAATATCATAATATAATGACATATTAGATAATCATTGAGATTATCCATTATCTAGCTATAAATAATATATAATTTGTAAGTACTAGATAATTAATACTCTGATATGTTTTCACAAATCTTTCATGAAATCAAGCATTATACGAGTAATATTGAAATTTTACATTCATATTACATTTATATATTACGCTCAATGATTTAAGTAAATGTTATGAAATAAAGATACGTGTAAGTGCATATCTACGAAGCTAAACAAACACGAACGACTATTAATACAAATTAATACAGGCTTTACTTCATTATTACATAAATTAACATAAAAACATTGGCATCCATTACTGCGAGCTTAAAATGTACGTTTAAAATTATTTATGCTGAAATTTATTTTCAGTACTACCTTATTTCGCTAATCTATCTTATTTCATTTGCATATAAATTTGCATTTTAAATTAATGTTAATTTTTAAATTTGGTAAAAATAACGATGATTTACGTGATTCCCAACATAAATAACGCATTGCATTGAGTTTATCTTGGCAGTGATGAACTGTCGTCTTCATTGTACTTTATGGAATACAATTTATACTAATGTATTTAATATAATAAATAACGAAGAAAAACAATTTTTATAACAATAAATAACTTTGCACAAATTGTTTAAAGTTTTTGTTATAAGACAATCGCGCGCCTATTATATATATATATATATATATATATATATATATATATATATATATATATATTTGTTATGAACGCAAATAAAGAAAAAAAACAACAACAACAACAACAACAAAATAGAAGGGGAAAAGGTCAATTTCATTTATATATCTCTATTGCAGTCGATTAATAATAAAACACGTATGACAAAAATCACTCGTGTCCATCAATTTTCTTACCCTATCCTTAAATTACAGTCTTTCTTTTATCACTCGAGAGTTAAGAGCTCATACGATTATAGCCGTCGTAAGAGATTCGAGAGAGCATATATAAAAAAAAAAAAAAAATGTAGCGAATGTACTCCAGGAGCAAGACAATGAGTTGAAATAAACGAAGTTGAGAAAACTCGCACGTAGATTCTCTTGCCGTGCATCTCCCGAGCCATATACGCACAACGAGGGCATGGAATGAAAAATTGCCATAATTTATGATAATGCGCCAACTAAAGTGGAGTGCGTATTTTTCTTTCAGAGGGCGGAGCGGCAGGAACGAGAGGAACGAGAGGAACGCCACGGGATCGGGCGAACAAGGGCGAGAGGAGAAATGAGGTGGACGTGACGTCACAATGACATGATGAAGAGCCTGGTGGGGATCATGTGGATTATATTGGTGCTCATATCAGGTGAGAAATGAGACAAATGTCGCGGCTGACGCCCACTCCCCCGCAATGCCGCAATTTCCTCTGTCGCGGATCTACGCCGAGTCCGACCTTCCTATTTTAATTTCGAGATCGCATGGATTATATAGGATGCGAGCGTCAGATCGTGCTCTCTGTCCACTCGAGCCATTATTTTCCATCTCTCCTTAACATATTATCTTTTATCACGAATGCGACTTTGCCGCAGTGAATTTGAGAAACTCTTCTTCTTGAGAAAGGTAGAATACGATGCCTCGCGACACTCGACTTATCGCTTATCCCCAGACGTTATTTAACAATTCCCGATATGATAATCAATGTCGAATAGAAGATAAGTGTCGAGGATATTATCAAGGGACTCGGCCGAGACACGTTTCCACTTGACGTAGCATTCGAGTCGGCCTTGGTAACCACAAACGCTAAACAAATCCACCAAGGAATTGGTGGAAAACGTCCAATTTTCATTATCAGCCCCTTTATGCGCAATTCGACGGTTAAGATTATGCGGCCTCAATAGCTTTTTGTAATAAGTTCTTGTAGCAGCTCGATAAACTATCCCAGCCTGTGTTTGTGGTCACAAGCCCACTTTCAAAGCACTATTTATCGAGCCCAGGAGCACAAGGACGGGACACTCGATTGTCGTCTTCCAGGAGGCTCGAGGACGAATGCTCGTCGGCATCGGATGCCCGTTGCTACGCGTTCGAGAGCAGCCAAGGGACGCAGAAGGGGTGCAGAGGGAAGGGAAAGGGCGCCGGTCATCTAATAGACAGAACCACCTAACGAGCGGACGATCCCGGGCGCATCCTGTCAACCGTCCGTTTGCAAACTCTGCCTTAATTTTCGATGAATCCTTACGGAAATGTAATGAGGGCACCCTTCGGGCGTCGGCAGCTCGGATTCGTATCGCAAAAATAAGGGAAAGGTTGATTGTTGTCTGGGTTGGCCGAGGTCGGTGGGAGGCCGGGAGGGCCAAAGCCACTCCGCTGATTAATTCGATCGGGGATATTTTGTCCGCGCTACTTTCGTTCGCCCGTATATATCGAAGCGGATTCACTGCTTTACACTTTCTTCCATAATACATCGCTTGATCTTATATATATATATATATATATATATATATAATACCAGTTGTACGGAGATGCGAGAGACATTTGCCATTAATCATTACATTGTTGTCTTTAATTAAGAAAACCACGATCTTTTTCCCGAGCGATCTGCGGAGGCTGAGATAAATTTTATGTGCATAAAAATCTCCTCGTTCGAATATTCGGAATAATAAGACTAAACTTGAAATAATCCAACTAAACTTTCTTTAAAATATTGTGATTTATTATAAAATAATCCGCGTATTATCAGAGCTGACAACGTAACGATCCAGTATTGGTACAAGAGATTAGATTAGAGCTGAAACGACATCTTATTTCACGCCGATATGAGCATTCATCCAATTCACCGAATATTTTTATCCTGTCTCTATCTTCTGTTGTCTACGCCAATGAGTAATTATCGCAAAATATGATGATTATTTATAATATCATAATTAATATAAGCGTAGTTCATTTAATTTTCGTATATTCGAATATACGGTTGATTGTAAATGTGTGCTGGTAACATAGATTTTCTTAAATAACATATAAGAATAGAAGATATCTCGAAGGTAGAAATTTTGAAAATTTTCAAGTCTCGTGAAATTTTTCCCAACTTTTCTAACATTTTTTCCCATGATTTTTAAAATAATAAATGGACCTTAGTTTTTATTAGTATTCGTGCTTTACGTTATGTATTTACGCACATTAAGCGAAGGTGGCTGAAGCGTAACGTGTCGCGGTATCTCGGTCGAAACCCTTCGTAACCCTAGTCAGAACAACGAGAAAATATAATACCAAGTACAATTGTAATACATACCTTCATTATATTCTTTATTTATAAGAATTTATGTTTGTAATAATAAATAACAAGGATAGAATCGACTTAAAATGAATAATTCGCATCAAAATTAACACTTAAAATGCTTAAAAACTCTACACTTCATTTGTTTACATTGGTAATTATTGTTGAAATTTTTTTTTTTCGTTTCTTTTTTTTTTTTCTTTTGACTAATACATCTAATAAATAACTAAATATTGACATTTACAAATATTTTTTCATGTCTAAATTAAAAAAAAAAAAAAAAACACAGAGAGAGAGAGAGAGAGGGATCGACACTAATTTAGGCCATAGCCTTATTATTTTATACATTACGCTTCTACGTTAAATAATTATTAACTGCCATTCGATGCTTCATTTTGATTGTCATTGTACTCGTGGTTAATTAATTATCTAATTCCTAATAATAAATAAATTAACAGGGCAATAGCATCGACGTCTTGGAAGACATACAATGGTTTACAAAAATTTCCGACTCTAAATCCTAATGTAAATGTCACGTAAAAGAAACTTGAAATAAATGACTCGGATGAATATTATGTATTTACACGCAAAGGGCCCCGGATTTTGGATTTGCGTTGCATCCGGCAGATAAACTTGCGCAAATATTGAGAGTTTGATAGAGGAATGGCCGTATGTAAAATATTTTCAGAGTTAAAATATGTATTGAAGTTTAAAGAATGTACAAAGGGAGCTTGCGAATTAAACTTTGAAATTCGCGGTTCGAGCGACCATATCGCATGCGCAGCTTTATATTATCGAATTGTTTTGCATTTGAAAAGCACGTAGACCTTCATGATCCAAACAAACAATTGGTTTATACGCGCTTGTAAAGCCTTATCGCGAAGCACCCATGTATAAATGTATAAATGGAATGGATTTTCGACTAGCTTTGTTGTCCGCAGATTAAAAGCCAGAAGCGACGGAGACGATCCGAAAAACTTCATTTTTCGTTTCTCTTTGTAAGCAGTCGTAGCCTGTAAATATACGTACACATGAACGTCCACGCATACATTCACGCGTCCCGACTTATTTTACTTATATATACATATATATATATATATATATATATATACTCGCACGTGCGTATAAAAAATTAAATTCAGATAAGAGGAGCTTCATTAATGTGAGCTACTGTCTAAAGTTGTTATTCCATTTTTTGCTTCGATATCATCTCAGTCCTGAAGAAAAGCGCTGTCAAAGCTCTGTAAGCATTGTAAATCGTCTTTTCTTTGTTGAATAACCTTTTGGAAAAATTAAGTGCTTAAACTTTATTCTAACGCTGGAGAAAGGTCACCTACCTATGCACGAGCATTTCCATGATTTTCCATAATAGAATACTCAAACCCTATTCAGCATTCGCCTCAAAGGTGTGCTTCAACCCTAATGGGATTTCAAATCCTGCTCTTCGGTAGTTTCTCGAGTATTCCCGATCACGTACTCCGAGCCCTCGAGTAGCTGCTCCCGATTGTATCCTGTCTGTACCCGGGGCAACCGAAAAATTGTTCGGCTGGGCCCAGTGCTACGTGATCCTCGGCACTCAGACAAACGATAACGAATATCGATAAAAAAAAAAACACGAAATAAAAATAGAGAGTGTAGGTGT